ATCTCGATCCTGGGCAACAGACTCAAGCTCAGCTGATGGGATGCCGAGCCTCTCGTGACAAAGCCGAGCGACATAATCACTCCACCTTGTACGAGGTCTACCGACAGGTCTTTTGCCGGTCATCTCGGCCTGGAAGACTCCTCTTGGGAGCCTTTCAGGGGGCATGCGGCAGACGTGACCGAACCACCTGGCCTGAGACCTCTCGATCCGGAGAAGCAGCTGCTCGACGTGGAGACTCTCGCGGATGGCAGAGTTTCGCATCCGATCACGGCGCGTTACCCCAGCCACTCGACGCAAGAACCTCATTTCGGCAGCTTGTATTCGCGATCTGGTGCTTTCGGTCAGGACCCAAAGTTCATGACCATAGGTAAGAGTGGGGAGATAAACACTCTTAAAAACCGAGTTTTGCTTCCCGAGAAACGATAGTTTCCGATAGTTTTGTATTTAAAAAATAGGGAACCTTATTATTTGATATGTCCTCGTACTACGGGAAATTATTAACGCAACAGTTGAAATGCCTTCTCTTTCCCCCCTCCCCCAATTTATGAATGTGTAATATGTTTGCGCTCGGCTTTCATATTTAGGGGGGTAATGATGCGTGAAATTTAAATGATGCATCACCACGAGTGGTTTCTACCACGAAAAATGTCCTGCCACTCGAAAACATCAACGGGAACGTTTTCTTCAGATAAGCACACAGATAAGCACAGACAAGAACGTCAATATTGACGTTCGGACACAATTGAAAGCTAGGCAGAGGACAGTCCCACTTTAATGGGGACAACAAGAGATGGACCCAAGTAACACAGTATATTGATGAAACGTTTTTGAAATGTTGTCTATGTTGCTCTATGTTGCAAGTTTGGAGCAAAAAATTAGGGAACCTTATTTTTTGATACCCCCTCGTGTTATGGAAGTAATCTCCCATTCATAGCGAATTCCCTTAAGGAAATTCTATCATTTACTCCTGTAACCTCTTGTATACAAGAATATCAAACTCGACGGCTCAAAAAAATTAAGATAAAAAGAGATACATTTCAAATAGTGAATTTCTTCTCCAATAATGTGAGAAATACATTGATTGCATGATAGGAAAGTGAAACACGAGAGGTGCCCCCATCACATTGTTTGAATAATCAGCATGTGCATTTTTCAAATCGAAACCATGGCGAAGAAAATTTTGTGCACCGTCTCGAAATTAGTTGGGACGCGAGAGTCTGTGCGATATGGCATGGCCGGTAGTGCTAAAACTTTCATCTTCTCGCCACTGCGACCAAAAGACGTTCGTCTTTTTACAAAGCAAAGATAAAAGACAAAAAAGTCTCCAACTTTACGCAGGAAAAACACCATCATGATAGGTCGATTGGAAATCTAGAAATCGTCACTTCCAACACATGTGGGTGGTTTCAAGAATACTCAGATGGAATTAGTTGTGAAGAGCGTTTGTCCTTTTTTTCTGCGATGTGAACCTAGAGAGTACGTTAATCTGCGAACGCGGACTGCTTTCTCCGCGCTAGAGAAAGAACATCTCGGTCCTGCGGGTCCAGCTGGGTCCAGTTGGGTCCTACGGGTCCAGCTGGGTCGGGCGAAAGCGGCACTTCCATGCAAGGAATACCCAGCTTTTTCTTGGCTGCAATCTATGCATTGTACTCTCGCTTCCACGGGACCGAGATGTCGCTCTCTACTCAGTGCATGATGGAACTTGTCACAATGAGACCTGTCAAAATGGGACCCGTCACAATGCCCTGTTAAGCCGAGCTGGAAGACTCGGTCGCATTCGCGCGTTTCGAAAAATGTTGCTTGGGTTCTGCGCGGCTCATTTAATTTGACATTTTCGGAAACTCCTATACGTATCGGATGTGCCGACCTGAAAACTTTCTACCGGTACCGTATGGTATTCCGTCGACAAGCATGCAAAGTTGGAGGAATCTTTTTAAAACCACTTGAGGATAATTGCCCGCCGAAGAGAACGGTTTAGACCGGTGTGACCGTGACGTCGTGAGTCCAGCCCCGCTTCCGAAAGTGAGAGCTTGGTTGCCCCCATCCATGGGAAAGAGGAGAAGAAAGTAATTATTTCCTAATCAAGTATACAAAGGCGAACGTAGGCAATAAACGTTAATTAGTTTTTCATACCTATTTAGAAAGGCATTGTCGAAATTATTTCCAGCACGACTGGCACTTCAGAATTGGTTCGTCCAGTCTGTCTGCAGATGACGCCTCGATCGCTCTTAGTCCTCTCCGCGACTGCAGGGATCCTCGTCTACGTTATTTTTAAAGGGAATGTTTCAACTCAAGAACTTATGGCTCCTTTAAGGAGTTAAACGAAACAAGATATATCTGGGTTGTCCAAATTCCATTCACGAACGAGACGAAGATGAACGAGTGATTCCTCCTTTCATGTTCTGTGAAGGAACATCTAAATGAGCTGATCGCAGATGAAAAGAAGACTTTCCCTTCTGGTCCGATGGGTCTCCATCGAATTTAAGCGTGTGAATCCCCAGTGATCATCGCTGCCGATATTGTTGCGGCCGGTACCGTTTCCGGATGGACTCAAACTAAAATTCTCAATTTCATGAGAACTCCAATACTTCCCTTGCTTTTGTCTTTTTTGTGTTCTGTTGGAAATGTGCTCGAGTCAGGAAAATGTGGTGTCTGGTATATGCCTTTTTCACCTTCAATTTTATTTTATTTGATCAGTATCTCTTAAAAATTGTTCATAGTCCACCACGGTTATCAACACAGAAAATAAAAGTCGACACATTTTTTATGATCAGAACAGTGAATTCGTAACGGAACATAACAGCATCGTAACAGGAAACCATCTATTACACGACCCTGTCATTGCATCCTTTAAAACATTTTCAAGGATTCTGGATCCAGCTGAAGGAACAAAGAAAATTGCGGAAAGTCTGTTGACAACGCCGAAACGAAGCAGCAAAGAGGGGATTTTAAACATCCTCACTGGAATCTAATTTCGCAAGTGTTTTTCAATCGAATTTGACATAACTTTCGTTTTTGTTGCGGATGTTTTGAATGCCGAGTAAACGAAAAATGTTGCGCGAGAGAAAAACCTTGATTCTTCGCCACTAGAAAACGGTCGATCGGCGATCTTGTTCACTGCTAACTCCAATTACGATCGTCGAACGAGAAAAACACGAGGTCCGAATACGAATCGCCTCTTACTGATGGTACAACGTCCTCTTCGATGCCTCACGCGATGGCACAATCGTCCAAATTTTATTCTCAGTTAAAATTCAATTCATAGATGATTTGTGTCTTTCGCTCCTCTTGCCCTCATCTTCATATGTCGTCTATACTTACTAGTGGTTATTGTTATCGAGTTATTATTCTCGTGTTATCCATGCTCACGAGTGAGGTGGCTCAAGAGACAAGAAGGAATTGCTTCCATCCTAAGTTCATGTAATCCAATTGATTAATCCCCCCCTCGCCCCCCTCCCCCCCTCCCCTCCCCCCTGTCATTGGATGAAGACCATCCATCTTGCTGTCGTGACGCCTTTCCTGATACAAAAAGGAAACCTTTCCTATAAAACGTAGAGAATGAGGATCTTCCTGGAATATACTTCGGGCTTCTTGTCAGGCTTTTCTCATCCTTTTTTCCTACCCTGTACGATGTTGAAATTGATCGAAAGCTGCACGTCTCCTGGTCCACCAAGCAAGCACTGGCGCGGAACTCCCCTTCCTTTTCTCGTGGTCCTCACAGACTAAGCCACGTGAAGCGAAGACCCCCCCCCCCCTCCTTGCTGCTCGTCCTGTTGATTTGACTGAATTATTTTATTTATTTTCAGACATCTAATAATTCATTTCACTGACGCTGAAGCGAACACCCCCCCCCCCCCTCCTTGCTGCTCGTCCTGTTGATTTGACTGAATTATTTTATTTATTTTCAGACATCTAATAATTCATTTCACTGACGCGAGACTTTGTAGGGCTCATATGTCGAGAGCGATGGTTCGATGTCCACGTGAAGAAGATCTTCTCATCCCCATTTGAAGTCTTCCGTTGGAAACGGGGGAATACGGACCTTCCTTGCAGCAGCAATGCCCCAGGGTTTCCTGCCGAGAAACAAACAGGGATCTCATCGCATCATTTATGCATCGTTTGGCATATTCTTCGAATCGGTCTCGAGGTGAGAGAATGACTACAAGATATCGTGAATCACTCGAGTCTTTTTTTTTGCTTCAAAAAGGTATCTTTAGAAGGTGTTAGAAAAAAAAAAAAAGAATGAATTGATTAAAATATGGTTGCCAAGGATCATCTGGGGGGGGGGGGGGATAGCCCCCCCCCCTCCCCCCTTCTAGGCCCACCTGTCCCGGGCCTCGCAACTTCTTAATCCGGCCCTGGCTTAGCTATATTTTCTTCGCTCATCGAAAAGCGATTCCCAGTGACACGTAGAAGTAAAGCTGAATTGCTAAGAGAATTGCTCGTTTACGTACGCCATAGCTTGAAATATTGTTGAACGGTAAAGCAAAGGAGTTTGCCCAGTTTTCGTCTCAATACCTAATATGGAAATATTCATATTCGTCACCAAAAAAGCACTACCAAGAAGGACGTAAGCGATCTTAATAAAATTTTATATTCAATCTAGGACTATTTTACCATGAAATCTATTAAGAGTTTCAAAGGCATGGATGAATATTCGAACTTGCCAAACATCCGATTCAATGGGAGTATGAAGTCATACTAACCCCTTAAGTGGGGAATTTATCAGATAGAAGCCTACCGCCGGAGTCAAAAATTATTTTCGTGAGAATAACAACTCAAGTTTGTTAAAGAAATGTACCATTCCTTCTGGAGTTTATACTCCTATTTCGAGTTTCGAATTCATATTTCACTCAAACTCGAAATATAACGGGACGGAAAAACTGCCAAACCCCCCGGAGGAGAATTTCACCATGACGGATACATGCGTCATACCCTCTGAAGGGGCTAATCGCCCGTAACCCGGGTCACCTACAAGGATCATAATGATGAAACGTGACAGGAAAACTTCTAAAGGTGTCTAGAAAATTCGATCGAAGTTTCAATGTCGCCGGATGTGCCATCTCAGAGAAAACTTGCCGAATGCCGGAGGAATATGGAAAGAAGGTGGCGCCATCGAAGGCTCCAATTTCCTTTTCTTTTCCCTCCAGCCAATTCCCTATTCGCTGGGTGCATTAAGTTGGAGACATCAGGCGGTAGGAAGCATAAAAATGTGCTGGTGGGGAGTCAAGCGCGCAAGCTTCAATGCGTTCCTTATGGAAACTGTTTTTACTACGAAAATGCTTCTCTTTTTTTTTTTGCCAGAGGGATTTCTTAAGGCCAAGAATGATTATATAGTAAGTAATCGATGGGCTGAAGTTTCTATTTGGAGCATCCAGACAGCCTGAAAGGCCTGTCATGAAGTTTCTTTCAGTCTAGGCCTTCGCTTTCCATGGGCCTATGAAAATCAAATTTGCCATTTGCTGTCACAGGATAAATAGCCAACATTAACCCTTGACCTGATACGTTTTATCATGAGGTCAGGACCGGATTAAGGGGGGGGGGGCAAAAGGGACTGTTGCCCCGGGCCTCACTCTTCCAGGGGGCCATCGAAGGAACTGAAAAACATTAAGTATTTGCGTAAAGGGGGGGGGGGGGAAGGGGGGTAGCTCCAATTGGTTGCTCCCTTGGAAGGGAGAGGGAGCAACCACCGGGTTGCGAGGTCGCGAGAATTTGCGAGGCCTTCTTAATCGAGGCCGAACTTCTTAATCCGGCCCTGCTGCGGTACTTATCCACAAAGAGTTTCTGTCATGGGTTATAATTTACGCCCATGAAGGACAATGATACGAAAAAAAGCTAGCAGCACTTACGAGAATACAGAGGCAATGGGAGTCAAAACTTCAAATTTAAAGCAGTTTCCCGTTGTAGTGAATTCCATGAGGAACTGGAAGATATTAATAATATCCTACTCATTTGAGGCACATGTACCTCACTGAGGCTCATGATTCCATGGAAATCCTTGCATTGGTGAGTGGCTTTGAGGAAAACCTGTACCTCCTCTGAAGGTGAAATTTAAGGATTGAACCACGTTTTTTGCACACCCCTGTACTCTGTCGCATTTGTAGCATTTATACTTCGGCTAGAAGCTCCCTTTGTCAATGTCATAGCTTTCAGGTTTTGAGAATAAATTGGAAGGAGCCCCATGTGAAGAAGGATTGTACAATTCTGTGAAGACATGGCTTTGTTCCGTCCTCCTCCTTATGTGCGACTCCCTCCAGTCATGGGCGGCGCCATATTTAAAACGCGCCATCTAGTGTTAGTGCACCCAGCGAATAGAACCGCCGTTGAGTCAAACAGCGAGGCAGTGCCGAAATGAGGGCGATTGGATGCTCCACTGCTTTAGAGACGCATGAGGTAACGTCAACAGTGCTTCCTAAGAGCTACGTGTTTTTTCCCCGTAATGGGTTTTCCGCTGATGCTCCGATACTATTAATCACGTTTGACTGAGCTGCACTGCGTAGTTTTCATGCTGAAAACACACCTGTGGCTTCACTATTGCTCTATCTATCTATTCAAGCGAGAGTTACAAGGTGCACTTCAAACAAGGCACCATACACTGGTTCATGAAATCCCATTAACCTTCGATTCTGAAAATTCTAAAATATTTCGAAACACCTATTGTAGATTGAATGAGTAGGGTTACTGGAAGTGCTCTATTTTCATTATCTTACCGGTGCCGTTTCATGTTTCAAGAATTTCATCTTCATATCTTTAGCCAGACCTTTCAAATCAGAATAAAGTATTTAGATTCCCTACAGGGTGGATTTTCCTCCTGGTGGACAACGTTCCAACAGGTGAAAATACCGCCTAAAGGGACATCTACCTGGTTCCAAATCCACATGGGAAGTGAACGTTTTTCAAGGGAGGTTACAGTCACATCCATTTTAAGTTCTGTACTACATTCACGCTAATATATGTTATTGGAAAAATTCCTTTCATTATGGCTGTCCCTGGGTCAGACTGTCTTGGGGACATTATTATGAGTGCTTTCAAGAAAAGTTTGATGCATATAACTGCCTCGATAATTATGATTCAACAGTAGATATCAGATTCTTTCCTGGCCATCAGGTCAATCTTGTTAAAATTATTAACTGTACTTATGTTTACCATGCAATTATGCATCTGCGTGCTTGGCTGTATACTCGTGAAACTCTCCTCCATAAGAGTCGATGCCGCTGTAACGCTCCTCCACCAGAGTCAATGGCAGTGTAACGCTCCTCCATAAGAATTGTTGATGGCGTAATACTCCTCCGTAAGAGTCGATGCCGATGTAATGCTCCTCCATGAGAGTCCATGCCGGTGAGTCACTCAGTACTTCAGTAGTACCACATCGAATTTTGATTCAATTTTCGTTTTCGTTTCACATGTTCGGGTTTCAAGTATCATGGAACTTGAAATAGAACCAATGGAACCTGTGATGAGCTACCGCCAAAAGTTAAGAAACGGTTGAAGCACTCGCAGACTTCGACGACGAATTTCGCATTTTCTCTTCACCAGGTGCCGTGCTGTCGTCATTATCCGTAACGTTTCCTCGACGACGAAACGTTACTTCAAATCCACAACATGTATCACTGCACTCGAGCCACATCAGAGTTCGATTCGTTCTTCATTTTCAAATCTGGAAATTGAATCGACTGCAGAAGGCCATCCAAGTCTTACCTTGAAGGCCTTGCGGAACTTGGCCGAGAGGATGTGATAAAGGATGGGATTGATGGTTGCCGAGACGTAGTAAAGGATTCCGGAAATGTTAGTCAAGATCTCGTAGACTTTGGTATCCAGTTCCCGATTTTGGTCTCCGTAGATGGCCAGGAGCCTTTGGGCATGGAAAGGGGCCCAGCACACGAAGAACGCGATAACCACCGCCACTGTCAAAAAAGAGGAACAGAGTTGTTAATGAAGACCCAAAAGTCTGTCCCAATTAAGACTTGGCAAGGGAATCTCGCAAGTCCGCTCCGTCGTGGATCGTTTAACCCCCGCAATAGAAACACCCTTCCGTCTCTGTGAGCCTTTCTATATTTACCCTCGGAACGAGTAAATAGCTGCCAGCCCGTTGTCTTTACTTTTCTGCACGTACGACTTCGTCTCGTCTCTGGTATTTGTCTCCAGATCAGAGGACTCATCGGCCGGTAACTCTTTCTTCCTAGCAAACCTTAATGAGGAAAAGAGCCTCATGGGATCGCCTGGATGTCTCACAATTATCTGTGTGCTTGTGCCTGATGAGTGTCTGCGAGAAGCTATTGCCAACGCAAAACACTAATAATCTCTTTGTTTTTGCCACAACCGTCCCAAACTCGACGTCTATTTAGTCTGGAAAACAAACTTATGGTTAGATGAGTGTGAAAGTTGGACTCCGTCAAAGTACCAAAAGCGATCCGTGTGAACACATAAGGAAAGTTATTTCTAAGTTTAAAGAATTGAGGTTCTCTGTACGGGCATGTGAGAACTTTCTGAGATTTTTTCAGGACGAAAACGAGAGGTACATACGAGCTAAAAGGGGTGGAAAAAGAATCGAGATGACCATAATCCTACAATCTACGATACGATGCGAAACTCTCCAACAGCGGATGTAAAGTTTAAAAAAAATATAACGGGAAGAGGTAGACGAAATCAAAGCAGGAGATTGAGATGTTTGGATTCCAATCACGGTCATTCATGCTTCTAGCCTGATGGGACTGCTCCACATCAGGGAAGAAGCAAAGGGTGGCAGAAAGAGAAGAATCTGATGCGGTGGCATTCGGGTCACGTCTCTCTCATCAGCAGCACGACCCAAGTAACACAAGATATTCCAGCAACGTTTAGGAAATGCTGAACAATGTTGCATCTATGTGTAAATGTCCAAAACGTCAACGTAGCTCAAATGTTGCGAAGGAACATTGCATTTACGTTGTAAATCGCTACTTATTCATTACATACACGTTGCAGATACGTTTCAGGATTTATGTTGCTGCAATGTTCATTAAAAACGTTGCTTCAGGGGCATCTAANTCTTTTTGGGAATATTAGCTTTTTTATCTTGACCCCATTAATCTGTCTGGAAAATGAAGATAACAGGTGATGAAGTGTCCGTGTTCATTGATTCCTATAATGAGACAATGTGAGACACATGGCAAGGTACTAGACATTCTTGTGCGGGACTATTCCAGGAAAAGGGAGAAGGGCACTTGTGTGTACTGTGAGAAAGCGAGACTTACGTCTCCATCTCATGGCAAGGAGGACAACTTTACAATTCACTAAAACTTCTAAGTCGATGTTGTATCAGAATGTTGTCGCTACGTTGTCGATGTCAAGAGTGTCAACATTCTCTCAATGTTGATAGCTAATGTTGCAATGACATTCGTAGAAGTGTCGCAGCAACATTCCAAGTGAAAACTTTGAAGTAATGTTTTCTCAATGTTTTACAGCAACTTGCAACATAGAGCAACATAGGCAACATTTCGGAAACGTTTCATCAATATGCTGTGTTACTTGGGCGAGACGGACGCAGAATTCAATTCAGGAATTGAATCCATTCCTTATGTTCAGCAACATTACTGTTCACGAGTTGATTCAAAGAAACGTAAAGCCCAGCTTAAACCACCCCAGTCCTTGTTGACGGAAATCGAGTAAATTGAGCAAAGGAGGATGAGGAGTGTAGCGTTTCAATCCAGAGACAATAAGTTCTATTCTCTCCATCGGCGTTCAGCCACTCTCGCAAACAAGATACACGAGTTCGACGGGAAATTCTATAGATCTGCTTCACATTCCCTGATGATAAATGTCTATTCTTTGGCGTCGCATTTGGACGCTATTGGTCTTGAAAGAGTACGAGTACGTGATTTATTTTTACTGGCCTATTCCAAGCAAACTCTAACAGTAAAATGCTACTTGTCTGCAGCTGCGATGAAGCACGATGCCGATGCGAATAAAATAGCGAAAAACATCAATTAAACTTATTTTATTATTCTCTCTGGAAGAAGTCGCCTTTAGAAGAAACAGGAGCATGTAGCTCGCGGCTGGAATTTTGGCACTTCCTCTCTTGGGATTTCCTTCTTAATGGACGGTGACTTCTTGATAAGAGGCTTTCTCGGGCTCTTCCCCTCCCCACAGATCACCTTCCGTCAGACATATCGAATTTCAAGTCGATACAGGTTGAGATGAGGCGTGTGCGAGAGAAATTCTTTGGTAATAGGTGTGCCTGCACACCTCTTTCTCTACATGTTCATTTCGTCTTTGGGCAGAAGATGAAATGCAGTATGTTATGGCGATAAGGCTAGTCAGGAACCCTGCGTTCATTCTTTTGTTGCTCGTGAGCCATGTGGATCTGAGGCATTCCGTTGCCATGAAATCAATATGAAGCTGATCCTAAAATTTATAAAACACACTCGGGACCATCCAACATCGCTTGACGGAGATGAAGTTGGCAGGTGCCCCACCCACCCCCAATCTCATTGCATCGTCGTCGTCTCATTCAGTCTAAAAGCACGGTTAGCACTCTTGTGGTAACCATCTGATTGCAGAATTCCTTCGTGGTCGAAAGAAAACTTCTTCGTGTAGTTGTTATACCTTCTCCCTCGTTTTTCTTGTCTTTACAAGCAATCCATGGATGCGCTCGTTGACGTATGAGATGTGAATATCGTGGAGCTTCCCCCGTTCCCCATCTATCCTCATCTATGCCCATCTGTCCCCACCTATCACTGGACATCAAACGGATGAATTAGCTGTGCTGAATACCGGTTATATACCGTGGAAGGCCGTGTTTACGACAGGAAACCTTTCATAGAGCCTATGAAGATAGAAAAGACAAAATAAGGAGATTATATGCCTCAACTTTGTCGGCTGTGGAAAATAGAGAATCGGCTTTCCCACGAAAGGATCTAAAAGATTCCTGATGAAATTCGAATGAAATATTCGGATCTGAGTCTACTCTCTTGGCGAAATCCGATTCTTTTCTTGATTGAAAAAACTTTATGATATATTCTTGCCGAGAAATTTCATTGTTTTTTTCCTTAAAAAAAGGACTCATAGAGACATTACACCCAGAAATGCCGTTCCTCTATTACATCTAAGTCGGCAATTGGGGATCATTCTTGGACTGCTACAGTATCACTGAGTGTGAATAAATTTTCGTTTGCGAGCTTGATGCGAGTCTCACATCTGAGGGTTCTTGAGAAGATGAGGCCTTATTCCCCAAGACAGCGCTTTTTTTCTTTGCATCCTTTTTACTGCAAAGAACTTGTACTTCAGATAAGAAAAGCCTTCGTCGGAGCCTCCAGTCTCGGCCTTCATCAAGGCTTTCTTCTTCAAGGCATTAATCGCGGCGCTTCGTTTCAGGAGCCATATGACTTCGGCCCCCGTTTTTCTTTTTCTCCGCCAATTTTTTTTTATACAAAGCACGATTTAAGGTATTCCCTTCTGCTGTGTCCCATAACTCGCTTTTTAAAGCTCGTGGTTCCTCCTTCATTTCTTTCCTTTCCTTTTTTCCTTCTTTCCTTCATTTCAAAATCGCTCATCCGTGCTGGATGCACACAAATCAAGTTGCAAATCGCTAATGGATTTTATTTCATATTTTAAAACAATATTCCGAGGAGGGTCGACTTCACGAAAGAAATGATGAGAAAAAAAAAATCCTTTGCCAACAAGTCGCAGCTATTTTTCGACAACAGAATGACGTTGAATCGAGAATCACCGAATAAGTTCAATTGCTCGAACTACTTCGGCGATTGAACCAGTTGAACAATTGAGTTACGACTTGAAAACGTTCGGGATGGTCACTGAAGCCCAATCCACTGAGGCACTTTCATCGAAAATGGCGGTGGCCAACAAATTTATAATTTATTGCCAAAGGCTCTCGTGTTATCTTCAGTTTCGTTTCAATAATTGTTACTTGCGAAATTTTAGCTTTATGAAATTATCTCTTTCCGGTGAATAAATCTTTTTGTAGGGTCAAATAAAATCAGTTTGTGACTTTTAAAATGGATTTGTCATCCTGGGCCAGACACCCAGACAGGGCCCGGACAGATATAAACATATTTATCGGTATGGACTTCGATGTTGTCACGCGTATCGTCGGGTGAGGATTAATTTGTTCCAATTCCAGAGTTCAGATTTTTAGCCATACCATTAAACATCAGCAACAAGATTGTTTTCTTGACTTAGAAGGTCGCGCATTAATGTATTATTAATTATTATTATTACTTTATTTATTAGGAATCTGTGGATGTAACATGCTACTCTGCAAACTTATGTTTTGTTTTCAGCAGCAAAACTCTGATGAAGTTCATGTTTCCCAAGCTTACAGTTTGGAACATGGAACGAAATAATCCTCATAAGACGGTACGTTGCAAGGATTGCCAAACGGCATCAAAGTGATTATCGATCGTCGTCTTCGAGGAAAGGCGAAACTGGAATGAGTGCGACATAAGGCTAAAAGTTACGTCGATGGTCTCCTACTCGTACATTGCCTTAGATATTCCATCTTCAAGCGAGAAAAAATAAATAATTTTCAAGGATCCATTTTCACGGTCCCTTGACTACCGAAGCGTCAGTGTGATTGGACTCGCGCCTAGAATTTATCTTTCGCGCTCGATTTCGAATGTTTTCAATATTTCATCTGGAAGAACGAGAGAGCCGGATGCTGGAGAATGGCATTCTTTGTGAGGAGAATTCTTACGGTCAGACTTGTCTTACTTTTGGGGATTGGCACAACCCAAAGGAGGGGAGAGTGCCTTTAATATGATTGTAGTAAACATAATTTCGCATCCTGTAATGTTTCTGCCAGCTCTCCTCCGCATCGCTCCTTCGCCCGCCCCCCCCCCCCCCCCCCCCACCCCCCCCCCCCTAATCTTGTTGCTGATGTTTAATGGTATGGCTAAAAATCTGAACTCTGGAATTGGAACAAATTAATCCTCACCCGACGATACGCGTGACAACATCGAAGTCCATACCGATAAATGCGATTAGTGGCTCCAAACTTACTCGAGTGGTCGTTAATATGTAGACCGTGATGGCATTCGCGGACTAACGACCAATAGATGTCAGAATGTTCTCGCTTGAGCGCTTTAACATTTCTCTAGAGGATGTCGGTGGAAGTTCCATTGGAAATTAATTGCGCTGAAAATTAGGCTTGATATGGCTTCGTCCTGTCCAAGAGCGAATATCCCCAAGAGAGCTAACGCTGAGATATGTAGAGGCAA